TGGTGGCTTTCTCAGTTGCCTGTGGCACAAATAAAACAGTTTTGAAAAATGTTTTGTCATCTGTGTAGTCTTGGAAGATAGCCCAAAAATTAAAAAAAAAAAAAAAAAAAAGAAAAAAACAAGAGAGATTATGACTGACTGGTAGTGCCAAAACATCAAAAGGCTGCAGTGATCATCAGCTGGAAACCTAATGCCTCTTGTATGGGGCCAGTTATATAACAGCAGCTACTGAATTTCCTGGGAACACAGCCACTTTTAAAAGAATTCTAATTTTTTTTTTTTCCAATGTACTTTATTTTAAGTAACTGGTAAGTTGGGGGAAAAAGAACTTACCGAGCCACACTGAGCTGTTCTTAAGGCCTCAGAACAGCAGTTCAGGCTGCAGCAAGTTAGTGTAAGAACTCTTCTGCCCTGGGTTTAGCTTAATTGTTTAAATATTTTGAGAGAAAAGTCTTTACCATGTAACATGGTCCATCTCAGGATGTTCTGTGGGAATTTTATCTTAACAGATTTTCTGTTCTGTGTCAAACCTGGGCAGCAAGAACAGTTCTTGTCGCCGTGCTTGCTTTCTGTAGCTGCTGTAATTGTGGCTGGCTTCTTCCCTGACATGTCTTACAGTCTGCCCTATCCCAATTGACTGTAATACTGGTAGGATCTTCCAGATATATGTTCCTACATTGCCTTCTTTGTGACTTGTCTTCAGTAGTAGTCTTGCACTTATTTGACAGTCTTAACAGAGATACAAAAAATTATTAATATGAGATTGCTCATTGCAATGAGATTGGTCTTTTATTTTTTTTTTTTTCTGAAGAGAAAGCACCAGTTCCATTGATACACTTAAGTTTAATGTGAATTCTACATACCTGTTATATTTTTCTTCCAGTACTTGGTATTCTTCACTTGCTATTGGAAAATAAAACACTACAGAAAAATGTTCTTTCCTGATACACCTGGAAAAAAAACCGGGTGGACAGTACTTTAACAGAAGAAAGGCCTTTGCTGAGGTGTTTTCTGTAGTGCTGGGAGGTGATGTAAGTTCTCTAAGTCTTGCCTCTATGTGAGGGATTGGTCAGTGTACTGAACCAGTTAATCATGACTTAGGCAAGTCAGATCCTGAATTGCAAAACTATGAAGTCTTCAAACAGCTCTTCCTTACCTGCCTGAAATGTAGAGTCTTAAAAATTATTTCCAATAGTTGTCTTTTAAATTAATCTCTCTGTTGAAAGGGGGAAAAAAAAAAACACAAGTGCAATGTGGAGCAAACTGCTCTAAGACCTCATAGAATTTCAAAACTGTAGTTTGAAAATTTATTTTCAAACATGCATGAGTTTAGTTCCAGTTCAGGTAGCAGAAAGGGACTTATACAGGACTGGTGTATAGTGGTGTGCCCTATTTCATTCTCCTGTTCAGCTTTGCTGTGGCTGAACGTGTCTTTGTGAGTGAGAACTTTTCCCAGTATGGTGCTGCTGTCAGGGGTTGGAGCTTCAGAATCAATACCCAGACTGTGCTGCTTGCAGGGTTCTACAGCAGCAGAGGAATCATTTATTTCCTCAAAACGATTGTATTGCCTGTCAAAACATAAAGTGTTTCCCACAGTAAAATTCTACCTGGGAGTAACTGACTATGCAAAAAGGTGACCATAGTACAGAGCTGTACTTAGTAGTTTCTTAAGGTCTAACAGCAGATGTAATATGCTAATTAAGCCAGTAAGATAATAGTGTAGAGGCTCTGTAGGTGTCTGTCATGTGTAGAACCTCTGACCTGTTTTGAGAAATTAAGGGTTGATTTGTGGTATATTGCCATCACTGGTTTCTAAACTAAATAAGAACAGCCAGCATTTCATAGAATGATAGAATACCAACTTGGAAGGGACCTCAAGGGACATCTAGCCCAACATTTCTTGGCAAAAGCATGGTCTAGACAGGAAGGCCCAAACTCTGTCCCACTGAATCTTAAAAGTGGCCACCGGCAGGGGAGCCACCACTTCCCTGGGGAGATTATTCAATGGCTGGTGGTTCCTGTGAAAAATTTTCCTCTTGTGTCCAGTTTCTCCCCAGGACCAACATATACCCATTACCCCTTGTCTTTTCCAGGTGACTCCTTGTGCCAAGGGAGTCTCAATCTTCTTTGGAGCCACCCTTTAGATATTGGAACATGGTGATGAGGTCTCTCCTAAGCATTCTTTTCTCAAGGCTGGACAAACCCAGCTCTCCCAGCCTTTTTTTATATGGCAGCTTCCCAATCCTTGAACCATCTTTGTGGTCCTTCTCTAGATGCTCTCCAGCCTGTCCACATTTCTTTTTTTACAGCAGGGACCAAAACTGAACACAGTATTGCAGGTGTGGCCTGACAAGCAGTGAGAGTGGGGTAATGGCTTCTTTATCTCTGCTGGTAATGCCCTTGCTGATGCAACCCAGCATCCTGGTGGCTTTCTTTGCCACAGCAGTGCAGTGTTCACTCATGTTGAGCTTCTTGTCCACCAGGACCCCATGATCCCCTTCCCCAGAGCAGCTCCCAGCCAGGTAGATCCCAGTTTGTGCTGCATTCCTGGATTATGTTTTCTCAGATGCCTTATCTTACATTTGTCTTTGTTGACTTTCATAGGATTCTTATTAGCCCACTCTTGTTATCTGGGTCTTCCTGCAAGGTGGCTCTCCCTTCCCAAGTGTCCACTTCCCCATTCCGTTTCGTGTCCTCAGCAAACTTCATCAGGGCACACTTGATCCCACCATGCAGATCACTTACAGATATTAAATGGTATTTATTTGGTTTTGTGTGAAGGGAAGGCAGAGAGGAGTATGTTTCTGCCCCTTGTCAGGTAGTTTCTGCACTCCAAATTACCTTCTGTTTATTTGTCTCTTGAAAGCTGTGAAATATCTTCTGTGAACATCTTTTCCTAAGCTTATTCTAGCACTTTACTATTACAATTATCTATGAATAGAATGGCTTGTTATGTGAATGGGCAAATGTACTTAAAGCTGTAATTAGAGATGTTTGCTTAGTCTTGCCACATCTGATGGGCAAGAAGCCAAGGCACCTTTCTTCATGTTGTTATGGTTCTCTGATCTTTCCAAGTAGGTATATATTTGGCTGTGCTTTTTTTTTTTTTTTATAACTCAGTTCAGTAGCTTTTGCTGTTTCCAAGAGAGCAATGTGAAAGAATTTACTTGATTTTGATTGCATTCTGTAGTTCTTTGTAATTCTTGTGTGTTTGAAGCTTAATACAGTCACGTCAAGGTCTGTTCTGCATTGAGTAAGTGTGGAGCCTGCCCCTGCCCTTTAGTGAGAGACTTAGAAAATGGTCCTAAGTCCATCTGCAGACTTACTAGATTTTAAGTTAAGCTAAACTTTTTCAAGAATGTGAACAGGCTTACTTATTAACTGAAAAACAATATCACTAAAGATCCAAAGGACACAGTGGCAAAACATTTTAAAGACAACCTGTGTTTATTTTGCCTTTACCCAGTGATGACTGAAAGCACTGTAGCTGCAGTTAGCACAACACCTTACCTATTGCACCTTCCCTTATACACAGCCCTGCAAAAACCACCAGGGAGAGGAGAGCTTTGGTGAACTCAAGGTAGACTTGTATATCTCTCTGAAAAATATCATTCATGTTTCCCAGCTATTCTTAAAAATCATTTTGCCCAAGGTTTATTTACAGCTTTACATTTTGTGTAGGTATTTCACTACTTTTCTTCTCTCAAGAAAATGCTTTATTCCTAATAATAAAAGGGGAAAAGCAGAGAAATACTTACACGTGTATACATTTGTGATTTTTATTTAAACACCTTGCGGTAGTGCTTTCCAAATCAGGCACTTCTTTTGCTATGGGTAGTAATATACTCAGGAAAGATTTAACAGACTCCTGTTCACTGACAGTATCCTTCCTGGAACCCTATTTTATGACCAACTCAGGGAAATCATTTTCCCCTGTCTCCACTCAAACAAATGAACAACCCCCTTAGCGATACAGGTGGTTGGTGCCTTGCGACATCTTGTGTTAATTTTGCAGGGGCTGCAACCAGTGACAAATCCCCACAATATACAGAGACAAAACCTTTCCATTCTGCAATCATTTTTTTTATATTTTTTTTTCCCCCATGATTTCAAGATCCTGTAAGCACAGAGAGCTGAAGATCTGTTTCAGATAAACTTTTTGTTTTTTAATGTAAGATGTGAGGGGTTTATGTCATGTGTGTTACGTGGACATTTTAGCATGGCATGATGTGAAAAATAGGAGTCAAGGTTGTTGCATGTGATGTTGATATACCACTATCCCCAGAGTAGATTTAACAGAGTGTATATGGACAGCATTAGCATCTGTCAAAAAAAACACATTTGGGGGAAATACTGTCTATTTAATGAAGATATTTTGCTTAACTGTTTGTATCATCCTCTCGCATCTGTTCTGTGTGGCTATTTTCATCATATGTGGGGTAAAATCATGTGTGTTCTGTTTTACATATTTTGTTTGTTATATTTGCCAAAAATTTAATCTTGGTAGGTGAGTAATACAAGCTTTTTGTTGCATGTTTTTAGATAAAAAGTTTGAAGATCTACAGTCTGTAAAATAAACTATGGATTCGGTGTAAAGATGGCAATGAATGATCTGAAAACTTCTGTAGTGATTTAGGGCTTTATTTCTGATTTTATTTTCAATAGGAAGGTTATTCTGAAATGCACATAGAGCTTTATTCTTAGCTCTGCGGGGTTGCACTTGAGGCAAAGATCATGAAAAAATTGATACCCTGTAGCTTTATAAAGTAACTTAATGTATTTGGTAGAAACTACAGCGTCAAGATCTTTTATTTGATTGTAATCTATTTCTCAGAAATAATTGTGCTGAAAGAGGGGTGTCACTGGAAGAAATTAATAATATGGTGATCACCACTGTTGTTACATTTTACATTCATATAAATCTGATGTTTAACTTCCATAGACAAATACATTTTATGCTTTGCTGTGAAAAATACAATATCAGTTTTTCCATATTTTAGATTAAATAAGATTATGAATCAGGTGGCCATTCAACGGAAGAAGCAATTTGTTGAACGAGTTCACAGTTACTGGTTGCTTAAAAGACTGTCTAGGAATGGTGTTCCTCTGTTGAGAAGGCTGCAGTCCAGTTTACAGTCACAAAGAAACACGCAACAGGTATGTGACACACTTTTTACTTATAAGAAGAAAATCTTTCTTTTATAGAGCAAAAAATTAACCAGGAAACATAGCAGTACTTACCCAGTACTGAGTAAATTTTTTACATTATTGTTAAGTAATATGTCTTATATTAGAAATCAGACATTATCTAATCCTTTTTAATTTGTGAGATACAAAAAATTATGTGCAGGTTTTTCTTTTGTTTTGCTTAAGTGTTTCAGAAAAATACCATCACCAAAACTATCCTAATACTGTTGTTCGTTGACTAGTATTGTGGTTTTTTTAGAACTCATTCCTCAATGTGCTATGAGTTAGTAAGATAAAATTTTATTTTACCTTAAATCTTTATTGTGTTTTAAATTCATTGAAAGATGCAAAGCCAATATTGTCTTTGACACTTAAAACTGAGGAAAAAAAATTGAGATTTTTACAGAGTAAAGGTTAGATTATACTAGTTGACAGTTTTTTAATTCAGATTCTCTTTGCCTCTCTTTGGTAATAACAGAACAAAGAGCAAGTTGCTGGTGAAGTTGACAGTCATATTTTAACTTTTAGTTTCACTTTTTATATAGTTAAGTTGTATTGTAGACAGGCATAAATTTATGCTGGTATTTTGTTGAAATAAACCCCATCATAGCTAAAATATGTCTAGGTCAGTTAGTTGTAGGCATTTACCAGTCCAAATTACTGAAAACCAGTCACTCCAGCTGTATCAGATTCAGAAAGCAGCATTCTTTTGCTTTCCAATTTTGTAATATAAAGAGCCCTTCAGAGACACTGGAGGTTTTGGCAGGTCTTTTATTGCTTTGCTTTCAAGTCACTGAGTGGCCTCAAATAATTGAAACTTATTTTCTGAATTCTGTATATGGATCCATGTGTGTAGACCTTGAAATTCTTTGAAGTATGATGCTGTGGGAATTATTACTACATCCCAGTTACCTTTTTTTAATTGAACTGGAAATAGAGGTGGCTGTGTTCTTTCCCTTCCCCAGGTTTTTGAGTTCTGGTTGAGTTGCTCCTGTAAAATAGCCTCTAGAATTTAAGAATGCATTTTATAATCATTCACTTCTGTTAAATTGAGATTTCCCCCCCCACCCCGCTTTAAAGCTTGACAACTGTTTCTGTTTGAATTGCTTTGCTATTTGCTGATTGTAGCCATAAAAATACTGTGGTCAACACTGCTTCCAAATTATCTGATCTGTCATTTTTGTGTGTATTTATGTTCTTAGCTTTTAATGAACAAACCTAATAATTTCAGAATTTCAGTGATGCCCCGTGACTGGACCAGAGGCAGTCGGCACAAAGTGAAAAACAGGAGGCTCCCTCTGAACATCAGAAAACTTTCTTTTTTTTCCAGTCCTCCTCTCTCTGAGGGTGGCTGAGTTTAGTATTATTTCAAAATATATTTACATGCATCTACTGAAGAGTAGAGTGTTTCTTTCAAGATTTTTTTTACCTATTTTTTTTTGTTCTGAATATACCTTGTACTGCTGTCTGATATGCTTGTGGCAGCCTCTTTGGCTTTCCTTGAAGCTGAGATGCTTAGATTTCTTTCAAGTGGAATTTAGGTGGATTCCTTTTAGATGGAATTAACTTTGAATATGAATTTGCTGCTTTATCTTTCTTTTATGCCTTCTATATTACTCCATTTGATTTATTTATTACTCTATTTTTGGGGTTGTAATTTCTCTAAAATGTTTTGTATTCTGCTTTTAACCTTTGATTAATCTTTTAATTTTGTATGAGAAGTTTCTATTCTGAAAACTGGTGCCTGGCAATTGTGTAATAATAGCTGAAATTTATTTATTTCAATAGTAGACTTTTTTTTTTTTTTAATGAGCATAAGTACTTAATAAAGTCAAGCACAAAAGTCCCAGGGCTCTTGTGGCACTGAAGACCTAGACTATAGTTAATGTCTGAAAAAATTCTATTTGCCAGTTGATAGTGGAGAAGTACTTTTCCTACTGAGATGGCATGATTAGACTGCAACATTTCCAAATATTTACATAGTATCTAGCAAAATGAAATAATTCTTCTAATTGATATTTGATGATAATGAAGTAAACGTTAGGAGCTGTTTAAAATCCCTTTGCCTGTTTGTGCTCTTGTACAGACACTGTTTCTTTTATTTTCTAATTTCAGAACTATGCACTATTAAGTAAGAACATGGTGAAAATATTTTCTAAATTAGTTGAAAACTATATTGGTTTATTAAAAATAGGGGCATTTCTGACTTATTCTTAAGAACTTGAAATTAATATTGTCTTTTGAAAAGAAAAAGCAAGTTTCAGGCAAAGCTGAGTATTAAATGATTCTGTTTGAAAAATGTGTAGATAGTGCTTTTCAGTGAGTAGTAGGTGTCCTGTGTATGACATTGTGTCTTCTCCATGGCATCTTCAATATGTACTTATAATACCTATTCAAGTAGTCATAACTGCAGAGCATTGGGTGCATTAGTCATCTTTGTTATTCCAAGTATGAGCCAAACCATAATGAAGACTTTAATAAGCAGCCACGATGTAGCTGTTGTGGGAACACCTCAACATTTCTGAGGTATAGATGACTGTTTTGTTCATTTCAGTCTAGATGGAAAAATTCTTTTTACCTTACTTTAGAAGAGAAGTCAGAACGTCAAGAAGCCTGAGTAGGTAGGTTCTCAGTCAGTCAAAAGAATGCAAGCACTGATGTAATGCAGATTCAGCACAGATTTTTTAGATGAGGAACCAAACCTCTGAAAATGGTTTTGAGATCCCTAGTGGAAGGCTTTTTTTCATGCCCGTCTAATGTTTTGTTTACTAGACCAAATTTGACAAAGGGGGGCAGTGTTCATGATTGGAATTACTTCCTAATTAGCTTGTTTCAGGGCTCAGTTATAGTATGTTTTTGAAAGTGATGATGTATCAACTAACAGTTCTAAACCAGACAGGAAGATCTCAGTTTATCTATTACCTCACCATGTGCAGGAACTAGGAACCTTCTGAAAGAATAGTTTATACCATCACTTCTCTCTCCACCTAGAAATTCAGGAAGGATATTGGAAATACTCTAATAAATTTACATCCCTACTTGGGTTTAGTTTTTTTTTTAATGTACTTAAAGAATACTTGAATAAAACTAATGCATGAAATTGAAGCTAGTTGCTGCTGTAGTGAGGTTGATTTAAAACAACTGTAAAGAGAAACAAGGTAGGTGGTGCTGGTGTCTGAGGTCATATCTGCACTGAAGATTGCAGTAAGAACACAGGCTGCAATCACTAAATGATTCTGACTGATTGGCATACACAGGCCAGCACAGTGTCTTACTAAAACCAATTGTATTGATCAAGATCCAATTTCATCACTGTAATTCTGTTTTTCTTTGGCTCATATGAAGTTACAGTCCTTGTAGCAGGCGAGGCTGTCCCTGTGTGTTCACATCCATCTTAAAGAGTGACCTGTTGGTACACTGACAGCATTCCTGCTAGTGTGCAGAGACTGGTAACTGATGGTGGGAGTTGGAGCTGAAGACCAGTTCTCAGTTGATGCATGTTCTGTGTGTAGGCTTAGAAGTGTTTCCCTCTTCCCTCAGTATTAATAACTGTGTCAGCTTTAGCTTTTCTAGATAACCTTTGGTGTTGAGCCAGAACTAAGTCCATCAGAAAATACCACACAGTTTCTTTCTAAATTTCTCTTGTGTTTTCAGAAGAAGCCTTCTGGCTTTCTTACAGGAAATAGGACTTGGAAGAACTACTCAACTACTTTTTACTAGAAAGTTAATACAAACTTCCCTTTTCAGAGAGCTTTAAAAACTAAAAGTTTTGGTAGGAACTCTTTAGATCCAAGTTTTTACTAATTAGATATTGAAAACCAGTGTATCATGTCCTTTTCAGTTTGCCTGGATATTTTAATGTAATTAAGGTATAAGTTATGCCAGATAATAAATAGGTTAGGGCAAAGGGACTTTATCTTACCTGTTGTATCTGACGCTATCACTTTGCATAGAAGTGTCACAAAATTAGAGGCTTGCTATTAATCCCCACGTCAGAATGTTGTTCAAGAAGGAAGTGGGTGTGTGCATGAAAAAAAGCAAACAAGGTGCTGTTGATACTTTGGGTCACATGTGCAGATTTACACCCACTTGCCTACTTTATTGACAGAAGCAACTGATTAAACTTAAAGAATAATTTAGTTAAAAAAAAGTGCAGGTGCACCTTGTGATGTAGCCAAATATTTAAAGCCTCTGTCATGGGTTAGACCCAGCCAGGAGCTGGCTGAGCACCACGTGGCCGCTCGCTCACCCCGTCACCCCCTGAATGGGAGGGAGAAAAGGAAGAAAAATACAAAACCCTGTGGGTTGAGATAAGAGAATTTAATACAACGCCACAAAAGGAGCAATAAACCACAGTAGGAACAGTAACAGCAACAAAACAATATATAAAGCAAATGAGACCAAGCACAGACCCTGTTAGCTCCAAAATGACTGTGAGGCCCCAGACTGTGCAATGGGCGTGATGTCAGCATGGCACCGATTCATCTGTTGCCTGGGTCAGTTGTCTTCTTGGGCTCCCTCCCAGCTTCTGGTGAAAATTAAACCTATCCTAGCCCAATGAAAACAGTCTACCCCAGGACCTGGTGTTAACAAAGTACGATTTTTATATTTTTTCCTTGCTGTATTTAAGTTTCCTGACCCACCCTAAAACTAGTAAGCTTTTGTTGACTTTAAATTACACAGTTACGTAGGGAAAAAGACCAGAGTTTGAATGGCTGCAAGCACAGGGAGGACAATGCTTCCATTTTTAGCAATAGCCACAACTTAATTTTGGTCCTGAAAAACAGAAAACAAAATGTATAGCTCTGTCAGTTAGCAGTTGGGTTGCTTTTCCCCACACAGGAACTGTATTCAGAGATTAAAGGATATAGGAGAAGAGCAATTAGTAGCGGCGTAGACTTTCTAATTCAGTGAGTCCCTTGAGAATTTTAAGGAATTGAAAATGTGCATATTAATATTTGTTTGGTTAA